AAGTCACTCTGAAGGCTCTATGCTGGGCTTGACTCCCTGCAAGCCAAGGGAGCTGGCCAAGACCGGCATGGCCCTCAGCCCAGCAACTGCCTTTGATTGGACTCTGCAGCCAGACCGAATGCAGAGGGGCCTGGCCTTGGTCCCCAAGGATTCTGAATGGGAACAATTCTGACTAAGAATGACACACTTGATTTCTGGACCACTTGGCTGCCAGTTTGTGGGTCTTGCAGAGACCTCACTGGACTTCTTATGAACAGCATTTGTGGGGCTAAGTCCATCCTAGTCACAGATTCCTGGGGACCAAAACTTCATGCTGTGGTGAGGACTATGTCAGCGCCAACCATCACCACTAGCACCACTAGCTGAGGGGCAGTATCCATAGCTCTAAAATCACAGATATGAGAGTGGAAGGGCCATAGAAACCTGTACAAGATTGACCTAGCAACTTTCTTCCAGAATATTCTCTAGTCCCTTTTAGTTCACTCCCTAACTCTAGTATCGCCTCTCCTCCACTCCTCTCCTCATTTCTCCCCACACCCATGATCATTCATAACCCTTATTTCTTGTCTTCTCTAAACTAACTAAGTCTTGACACCTTAGCTCAGTTCTTCCTTTAAAATATGGAAATTAATTTCAGTTAAAAACTAAAGAAAGGGCCTCCCTGGTGGTGCAAGGGTTAAGATGAAACCTATGAAGCTGTCTGCAGCCACTGCAGCAAGAGCTCAATCCCTGGCCAGAGAGCAACCCACATGACACAGCAGACCTCTCCTGTCTCACCCACTGCTCCTCTTAGCAGTGTACTTTGGTCAATCTGCCTGTTCTGTTCCCCACTCTGTCTCTAGTTAATTCTCTCACCCCCTGTGCCGCTGGCCTGTACCCCAGCTCTTATATGCATAAATAAATAAATCTTTAAAAAAAAAAAAAACCTAAAGAAAAATCCTTGAGCTGATAAAACACTGGAACAGATCAAATGAAAACCCAAACCGTCATGTGACAAGCTGAGTAATAGAACATCATTTCGGTTCAGTGGTGCCTGTGCCTCCCTGTCAAGGCACTATGTAGGATGCTTCAGAAGATCAAGGTGGGAGGCAGGGAAATGAAAATGGATGGACCAGATAACAGCCAACACCTTCTGAGCATGCTCTTTGTGTCAAGTTCTATAGAAAGATTTTACATAACAGCTCATTTAATTCTCTCAAAGCCTTATGAGGAGACCTGCCGGCCCTATATTGTGATTAAACTGAGGCTTAGAAGGTTAAGTAACTTGGCAGGGTGACCAGCTAGTTAGTAGGGGAGGCTATCTAATCCCAGAGCTCTAACCTGTACCTCCAAGCCCTTCCTTCCTCCATGCTATCTTACTCTCATCACAACTAACTTGCAAAGTAGGTTGTGTTATCCCTGTTTCATAGATGATGAAACTAACTCAAAAAGGATGAGTAACTTATCTAATGTCACACGGGTAATCCACAACAAAAAACATTTGAGCCCAAGCTTGTCTATCCAGAACATACGTTCTCTCCACCAAATCATGTGATCACCATCTCCAAAATCAGGATTTCTTCAATTGCTAAGACTGTTAAGACCTACAAACAGCTGTAAGTATCTTTAGAAAAGCAAGGTGTGGAGGGAAAAGGCCACCACGAGGGGCAAGGGAAGGCCTTCTGAAAAAGGGAAACTAGATGGGTTAAGATGGATTGGAAGCCATGGCCCACCTAAGTGCTCCATGTTGCAGGACGAAGATTTCCTTATTCCCCTTTGCCTGTGTTGCTAGTTCTAATTTTCTTGGTGTAGCCCTTTTTCCTGGTAGAAATCACTGGCAGAAGGCTATCCAAATAGAAAAAGTAGAAGGAATGAACATGGAATGGGAATAGTTTTCCACCATTATTAAACCATGATTTTCATACCATAAAAATGCAAAACATTTTTGATTAGCAATAATGATAAAATAATAATGACTGCTTAGAGTGGTGATGGCATCTTTCACTCTAATGCCTACGTAAATAGAGTCAACCTCATCATCAGTGATGAGACTCCCTCCTCTGTCCCGATTATTATCTGGTAATGGAGAAATGGCCTTCAGAGCAGCCAAGATAGGTCTCTGCAAATGGGTCACTGAGTCTTGGAGCAAAGATGGGGAAGGACTCTTGGGAGTCCCTCTCCCCTGAGTTTGTCTTCTTACTTCCCAGAAACAGCATGCCTATGTCGAGTGCCTGCTTTGGACCAGGGACTGGGCTGGGTCCGAGAGGTGTGAGGGCCTCAATGGAAATGAGGCAGAGGTGCTGTTATACCAGAAATAGCTTCCAAATCTGCTCACAATGGTCTCTGGGCCATTGCACAATGCAAAGGTTACATAACACGAGTTTGAGCAACCTAGAATCTTGCTTCCAATCAAAGGTTTCACAATGACATAGTTTATTTCCAGCCTCCTGCTTTGCACTGGTCTAATTGTCAGAGGCTGGAGAAGAAACCAGGTCAACTCCAAGAATTTAAGAAAACAATAATCAGTTCTTGAGAACTCACTAAATGGGCCAAGTGCTGGATTTTGAAGCCAGGTTTGTCAGTAGAGAGTGGGGAGGGGGTGGGAATCAGGAACACCTTCACAGAGGGAGTCTTGAGCTAGGCTGTGAAGAATAGAGAATGTCCAGGCACACAGAGGAGGAATAGTTCTCCCAGGCAGAGTAAAAACATGTATGAAGATTCAGTGGTGTGAAACTATATGATGAATTTATGAAACTGGTTGTTGAGCTTAACTAAGCCCTGGTTTGCTGCATGGTTCTTTCACAGGGGAATTCCTGTAAGCCTGCCTGAACAAGGCTGGAACATGTGAGATGTTCTTCAAGAGCATTTCATGGCCTCTTGGATACAAAGAGACGCTGACCTCTCAGACTTACGTAGGCCTCCAGTACTATCAGTGTGACAGTGCTGATTTCAGGAGGTCCCTCAGGGCCCATACAATTTCCTCAGTTGAGCACGGAACTCACTGTAGATCATAAGAGCTGAAAGATGTTGAACCTCAGATTAGAATCCTGCTTGGTGGCTGGTGAAGGGTGCTTCTGAGGTTGTCGTGCACTTGTACTTCTTTAATGCTCTCCCCCCTCACTCCACAAAATGCAGACGAACCGGCCAAATTAGAAAAAGACCAAGAAGAGCCACTGGGCCTGGAAGCCCTGCTAACATCACTTGTGGGAAAGCCCATCCCCAGGCCTTCTCTCTGCGCCATGTCTGCTGCTGCTATTATTCAGGGAGTCACGATCCTTGGATCTGCTCCTAATTAGGCCAGGGGCTTATTTATAAATCCTTCCAGTGATTGGATGTCATTCTAGAGTCTGTGAAATGTATTCACCTCACTGCTACAATAATACCTCAGCCCAGAACACAAACCCCCCAGGCACCACATGGGGGCTGCTGTCATTACTGGCATTTACTCATTAATACTAATGAAACTAAAAACCATAACTAACCTGTGGCTAACCCATCAGCAGGTCCTCTTCACGCACAGTCTTTTCTTGTTGCCTATAACATCAACCTCAGGTCGATATTGTTAACTACAGCTGCAGTTGATAAATGAGGAAATGTAGCCTCAAAGAGATTATACAAGTTGCACAACATCCTATACATAGTGACCAAGAACAGACAAAGATTTGGGGGCCAGCTCTTTATGATTCTGAAGCCTGTTGGTGTTTCAGTTCATGAACAAACTCCAGTCCTAGGCCTAGCACTGCTCCCTGGCCTGTATTGGGACTGTCCTTTTACGTCAGCTACCTGTCTTGGGGTGGGAGAAAAGTACAGTGATGTTGTGTCTTGAGCAGCAGGCACCAAGCCCCGTGCTGACTAGGCACCCCCATATTCTCATGGTGGCCGCCCTGAAATGCTGTTCCTAGGAAGGTGTTTCTCTTGTTCACCCCTAAATTCCCCACGTAGTGCCTCACACATGGGAGACATTCATGTGTTACTCACTGAGTTGAGACGAGCTTCTTGAGCCTCGTTTTTTAAAGAAGGAACCCAAGATGCAGAGGACCTGGACAGCTTGTGAGGCCAGGCCTGGGGAGACCCAGCTGGACGCCCAGGCTGCCTGGGCCACAGGTACCTCTCACCCCAGATTGCCAGCAACCTCTTCAGCTACCAAATTTTTCTTTCTCCAAGCTAAAGAAAATTGGTAAAATTGCTCTTGAATTGACCAGTTTGGAAGTCTAAGGGATGTGTGTGTGTGTGTGTGCGCACGCACATGCATACATGCACGTGTGCTGGTGCATAACTGGGGTGGGTGGGGAGGAAATATGAAAAGTATGGCAGTTCTCTTTGTAAAGTTCATTTGCTTATAGTCAGGAGACTACTTTTTCTATGAATTCATTGTTAGGAACATTTCTTGGAACCTGATCATTTTGCCCACTTCTAAATGGTTCTACACATTCTTTCATGATCACTGGGATATTTACCTCAGAACTAAGACCGTCCCTTATCTATTTCCAAGATACAGTCTTTTCCTACAAAATGTGCTACAGTCTTTGTGCAGGTTAAGACCTTAATGTATATAAAACCCAGTTCCATGGTAGTGTCATGTAAAAAATAAGGATTTTACGATAGTAATGGGTTTTTCATCCTTGGGGGTAAAAGTTGGGGGGTGCCTTCTTCATCTCAGAGGCGCAGACATCTATGATTAACTAAAAGTGCCAGGTTGATGATAAAAGCTGTACTTAGCATCGACTCCTCTGCTATAGCAGGAGACTGGGGGGGTGCGACTTTTGAGGATTTTTTTTTTTAATGGAAGCTTTTGTTAACAGCAGATATCTAATTAACTTAGGTTTTAAAACTTCTGAGGTGCTGTGTCCTCAAGAAAGATGGTTATCAAAATAGTTTCATCTAACATAATTACCCTAAACCTACTATGGGAGAAAGAATTAAAATGTTTCTTTTTTTAAAGAAAAGCCAATGTATTAAATAACATGGAAGCATTTTGTTGTGGGTTCCCTGTCTATGCAGTTGAGGCTAGATCAACTTACCAACCAGCATAATTATCATATCCAGAGTTTGTCTCGGGAAATGCCTTCCAGAATAAGGAAAACACAGCGTCTGTGCCCACAAGGGTGATTTGGCTCCCCCCGAGGATGAAAGGCTTCAGCTGTTCTGCAGTTATAATCAAACTGGCTCCCCCCCAGCCCCCTCTGGCTCATCCATCACACTGTAATAACAGACTTACTGGCTGCTGATCTCCAAAATGGTGTTTATGACATCAAATGCTTCAACTACCACCTATGTGTGTGATGACTCCTCAGTGTGTCTTCAACCCAGGTCTTCCTCTTCTACTCCCCTAGACTCCAAATCAAGCTCTTCAGCTGCCTATTGAACATCTGGACTTCCCACCAGACTCTTCCAGGCCATATGGCCAAAAACAAACTCATAATTGCCCTATTTACCTCCTACGGTAAATGAACTCCTTGGCTCAGATCCCCTGTCTTATCAGCCCCACTATTCTGACAATCACAACTCTTATTTTAGGGGGTTAACATTTCCCTTATTATTTTTATTAAGTGGACTTTAGTAGAACAGTTTTAGATTTACAGAAAAGAAAACAGAAGTTCGTATAAAGAGGTCTTATATACTTCATAGTTTGCTTCCCTCTTGATAACATCTTATATTAGTTTGGTATACGTATTACAATTAATAAACTTGTATTGGTATAATATTATTAAGTCAAGTCCATACTCACTTCAGGTATCCTTGGGTTTTACCTAATACCAATTTTTTTGTTCCAAGATCTCATCAGGATAACACAAATTACTCATATCTCCATAGGCTCTTCTTGGTTGTGACAATCCTCAGACTTTCCTTGTTTTTGACGACCTTGATAACTTAGGGGAATGCTGGCCAGGTATATTCTAAAATATTCTTTTATGGGGATGTGCTGATGTTTTCTCATAACTGAACTAGGGTTATAGTTATTAGGAGGGAGATTGCAGAAGTTAGTGCTGACATTTTTAAGGCATTGTTTCAGCAATGGAGAGGCTTGCTTACTTCCTTCATTTGACAAAAGGAAGGCTAACTAATCCTGATATTGTACTTATTAAACTGAATCATATTATTCATTTTCTTCCTCCTTCTTTGACTGTAAAATTTTTTGAGGGGAGAAATTGCCAGATTCACCTCTGTATCTCCATCATCTAACACTGGGCATAAAACCAAGTCAGTTGGATGCATGCTTAAAACTTTATTTCTTCAGCTGTAAATATCATAGAGCTTATTTCATAGGACTTTTTGACAATTGAATAAAAATGTTAAAATATTGGTACAGTACCTTGCCTAGGAAACAGTAAGAACTCAAATTGTTAGCTGCCACCTTCTTTGTCACCGTTATTGGAATATACATGTTATGCAACATATATAGGAGACCCAAAGAATTTCCTTCAATCTGCTCCATATCTAAAGCAATAAATGTAGTGGTTAGATGGAAACAAGAAGGGCCAGACTCAGCTTTACACTTTAGGGAATTATCTTCTGTAAATCCATGTTGCATTTAGTTCCTTAAACAAGACCACTTTGACAAAATTTGGGTTTTTGGTCCAGATCCAAAAGAAACATAAGGTAAAGCTCCTATTTTCAAGACCTTATAAATTGACAGTTCATAATATAGGCAGTATTTGGTGAGAAGCCAAGCAGAGGTATTGTGGGTGTGGGAAGTTCTGAAAAGGCACTGTGTCTATGTGGGCTGTATTATTGCTAAGGCTTGGGATATGGGCATTGAATGATGGGTCAGATTTAATGGACAGAGAGAGGTTGGAAAGTCACAAGCAAGGCTTAGAAAGAATGATTGTACAGAAAATCAGTGTCTGATATAAGTCCACCCTGCCAGACATTAGGATTTATGCAGACAAGAGTAGGAGGTGGCATTGAGCAGGCCATTAGACAGAGCAAGATAATAAGATGGGGGTGGCTGGAAAGCTGTCCTGAAGAGTGATAGATTTTTTTTTTTTTTAAGCAAGAGGCTAACCGGATAAAGATGGAATTTTTAGGAGGTAACTGCTAACTGAGCATGACCAGAGGGAGGGGGGGAAATTAGTGGTGGAAATAGTAGAATGTTAGTTCATTCATTCATTTATTCATTCATTGGCCATATAAACACAAATATTGATGAGATCCTTTTAGACTCTGAGCATGTCAAAACAAATGAGACTTGGTCATTGCTCTTAAGGATTCATGAACTACAAGGGAAGAGAGTAAAGATATTTCTGATATAACCTCGTCTAGATCATAGTGTGACCAGAGAGGAAAGGATGGAATAATATGTGGGCTATAGATACATTGGCCATATGTTCCCTGACATCAGCAATAAAGATGTAAAGAAGTTTTGGAGATTGGACCCCTATGGCAAGCAAAACAAAAACAAAGATACACACCTGGGATTACCTCAAGTTAAAAAGCTTTTACATATGAAAGAAAATACAAGAATATTAAAAGACATCCTAGTAAATGGAAGAAAATATCCACACAATATATAACTAATATAACTAGTGGTTAATATTCAAGATACGTTTTTCTAAAATCCTACAATTCAGCCATAAAAAAGCCAGACAACCAATGAACAGCTGATAAAAACAGATAATTCACTGAAGAGGGTATCAAGAAAGCCAAAAGACATAAAACAGTGTTCATCATCACTTCCAATAAGAGAGAAACCATCTCATACCCCTGAGTACAGCACATATTTAAAAAAACCTCCAACAGCCAGTGCTGGAGAAGCTGCAGAGAAAGAAGAACCCTATTATACAGCTGGTGGGAAGGAAAACTGATGCAGCCATTATGGAAAGTCATCTGGATTTACCTTAAAAAGTTAAAAATGGAAATACTGTATGACCCAGCAGTCCACCTGTGGGTCCAGCCATCAATGCGAAAATCTCTGTGTCCTACAATGTTCACAGCAGCATTATTTACGGTGGCTAAGACATGGGAGCAGCCTAAATGTTTGTCAGTAGGTGACTGGATCAAGATGTGGTACATCCATGCTATCAAATACTGTTCAACCATAAAGAAAGATGAAACACAGCCATTTTTAGCAACATGGTGGGCGTTTGAGAGAATAATGTTTACTAAAGCAAACTAGAATGATGAAACAAATACTGAGCATTTCCATAGAGACAATTTGATAAAGTCCAACACAAATGCTAATGAACATTAATAAACACTGTGAGTGCTCTGAGGCTGCAAGGGAGGGGAGAGAGAAAACAAAGGGAGATAAGGGATGGTGGTGGGGAGAAAATAAAAACAAAGAAAAAAAAATAAAGTCCTACCAACACATAAAAATATGGGAGATAGATAATATGTATCTATTATAAAAACACAGTATGTGTATATACTCAGAGACGGTAGTTCAACACATACTTAAATTATGTATGTTATATACATTGTATGTGCACGTTGAAATACACATATACACATGCATTTGTTTTTACAGTAGATATTTGAAGGACTGATTGTTAGAATTAACACAGAAGACAAAGCAAAGTGCCAGGAAAGGGTAACCCCAAGCTATAAGCCTGAATGAACTGAATTCACTAGAGATTGCCACTGACAAGAAAGGGGCTCTTGTAGGTGGGACCTGATTAGTCCAGAAGAAGAATGTGTTTGGATCAAGTTGACCGTGACAAAGAAATATGAATACAGTGAAACTATTAGCAGCTGGAAACACAGTAGGCAGGAGGGCTGGCCACTAGGAACATGCTGGGGACTTATCAGTCACGCTACAGTAAGCAGAGGAGAGCAACCCTAGGAAAAGGGGAAGACGAAAGCTGGCCATGAACCCCTAGAAATACCCCCCATCACATATGCAGAGAAAAGGGAAAGCAAAGAGGTAGCAACACAGCAGGAGACAGCAGTCGTAGTTCAAGAAGCAAGGGAGAACCTACTAGCAAAGAGATCCAAGAAGTCAACACTGTCAGGCACTACAGCTGCAGACACAGATACCCATACCTGCCCCGAAGAGTGACACCGGCCATAACAGTAACAGCCACAATTATCACCATCCTCAGCATCCTCACCCCGACACTGTTCTAAGGCACTGATATGTTAGCCGTCCATGATAACTGACTCATATTCTAGGCCAAACCTGAGTTCTCAGGAATCTGGATGTTTGGATAAGAGAGTTTTGCTGGAATGTTAGAAATGGGTTTATAGGTTCAAAGGTTAGTGGTTTCTTTCCTCACCTCAAACGGTCTGAGTTAAAACACTGGTTTACTCCTAGTCAGTAAAATCTTGTCTGATAAGATGTCTTCCCTTCTGTCCTGTATGAGAATGCATTTCTAACTCATGTGGGGTTGGGTGGAGCCCAGAAGATTCCCCAGCCCAAACTCTGTGGCAAGTAGAACTTGTGAATAATAATCAGGACCTTTTGGGTTGGGCCATTCTTTCCTAAAGCACTGATATTCTAAGCACATTTCAAAGAAGAGGGTGTGCTCATAGCATGGGCTGGATGGTGACACAGGAGTCTGGGAGTAGACTGTACTTCCAAGAAAAGTTGCCAGTGAACTTGTTCCTACTACTCTTCATAGCATCTCAGACCTGCTTTATATTCATCCAGAGACTGACACTATGAGAAAACCAGGAGACATCTGCTGAATGTCAGTTTGGGGAACCAAGGCCCCCCACTCAGAATGCAGAGGGATTGTCCTGGTAGGGAAGATTGTTACCTTGGCATACCTTCAAGTCAGGCCAGGACTTACTGACTTGCCCTGTAAACTACATGCAGTGACTTTTGCAAGCAAGTGTCCTTAGACATTTACTCATCCAACAAATGTCTTTAGCAAGAGCTTTCAGACTTACAATGGGATATATTATAAGCTTGCAGAATATAAAGGAGAAAACAAATGCATTTTAATTTAAAATCCATATTTTCAAAAGGGGAGTGGGAATTCTGATGCTAAAATAAACCTTAGCAAACAACTCTCTGAAGCCAGCAAGCCAGCGTCCTGCTCATAGGCCTGGCTCTGATTTGAAAAACAAAAACAAAACAAAACAGAACAGACTTGACTCTAGGTCCAAGTCAGACTTCATTTGAAATCTTTCTCTGTGTCTTCATCTTCATGCCACATCTGGAAGGCTCAGAACATGACATGGGGATTTATCCATGTAGAGATTTTACCAGGTCATTCATGTAGGGGATCCAGGATTGAG